AGGTCGTGCTGCTGGGGGACATGAACGTGGGTAAGACCTCCCTGCTGCACCGCTACATGGAGAGGAGCTTCCAGGAGACCGTCAGCACGGTCGGCGGCGCCTTCTACCTGAAGCAGTGGGGGCCCTACAACATCTCCATCTGGGACACGGCAGGGGAGGACCCCCTGGCCGGCAAACGCCGGGAAGGGCCTCCCAGAACCCCGCGGAGGCTCCGGTGCTTGAGGGGAGAGCTGGGTCGGGGGACCCCGGTGGGGAACCCCGCTCTGTCCCTCCTGGCCGAAACCCTCCCTGGGCTCCCGGTGCTTCGCGAGTCGGCCAAAACGAATGGTTTGGCAGCGGGATAAAGTCGGTGAAGAAACCTTTTTTTTGACGGGCCAAAGGAGCTTTACAACCGCTCATCTGCAGTATTTTTGGAGCTGCTTTGTAAAACGTGGACGTAGAGGCCCGTTTGCCTTCTTTTGGGCTGCAGACCCAGAGGAGCAGTTTGTGGTCTCGATGATAGGAATATCTTTCTCTTGGTCAGTGGGTCAGGAAGCTCTGCTCTGTCATCCAGGGGGTCAGCCTGCCCTGGAGAAGGAGGTCTCTGAACATTCTTGCCTGTTGAGTTGCTCGTGGGAGAAATCTCTTTTTCAGTATTTTTCTTGTTTCCACGTTTAGCTGAATTTAAAAATAAAAGGTGTTGGTGGCAATGTGAAGAAGGCAGATGATATATTGTGAAATTTGGGGAGCTGCAGCCTCGTGCAGTGTTGCAGTTTCCTCTGGATGACGTTTGGGAGAGAAGTTCATTTGCTCTGTCACTTCGTGTCACAATCTAGTCCAAACTGGCTTTTCCTGCATCAGGACTGGAGAAGGAGGAAGAGGAGAATGAAACTGCCAAGAAGTTATGCAGAAGCACTTTTTGGAGGGGGCAGGAGATGTTAGCTTCTTGCATTTCTCAATCTATTCCTGTGATGAAAGCTTGCTAACGATGGCCCTGCTTTAAATGTATTTTCTATGTCCTTTGCAGTGTTTTAAAACAAAATTCTATTTTAGAATTTATGTACTTTGCTGTAAAGAGTCTCTTGAGGGGAACTGCTGCTTGTTCTAGTAAGCCAGACCCATGTTGGTGATTAGCAGTGGGCTTTGTTTCCACAGAAGAATTACCTTGGTGAGATTGTTCTTTGGTAATTTCCCTTATGCCTTTCTGCTTTCTTTAAAATAAGTCCCTCCCAGGCTTTGCCTTATGGTTTTAGAGCCCTTTTATCCATTATTTATACTTACTGCAGTATTTTACTCAGTGTTGTGTGGAATCTGGAAGGCTCCAGAGGTGTCCTCCATCTGTCAGGTGAAGCACCCAGGCAATACCTGTCTTGGGGCAACACAGGCCTTCAGAGCTCGTTGTCTTCCAAGCAGCCAGAGTTCCCTCTGCACCCTGGAGCTGGGCCACTGCTGGTGCTGCTGCCTGTGGAGCACCACAGCAGAATCTTCCACTGCTTCCTGAGTCTCAGCAGGACTCCAGGAGCAGGTTTGCTGGAGCTCTGGTTGCAGAGCAACAGTTGACAAGCGTTGTTGTAGTGAGGGTAGCATGACACATCTTCCTGGCTCTTCTCTGTTGTTGGAGTTGTTATCAAGCTTAGATTTCCCAGCCCTTGAATTTTGGAGGCAGGTGTGGACTCTTGCACTGTCTCCCTGTTGACTCGTGCTCCTGTAGAATGATGGAAGGTGCCAAGACAGGGCTAGACTGTGTTGAGGCCTGTGGGCTTTGGCTTCATGATGTTTCCTGTTCATCTTCTAAGAAATAGCAGCTCCTAGGGCACTTTTATGCTTTCTCCAGGTGAAAAAGGAAGGGACCCTGTGGACACTGCAGCTGTGCTGTTAAGAAGGGGATTCAAAAGCCTGTGTTGTTTTGGGGTTTGTTTTGGGGCTGGTTTGTTTTCATTTGTCTGGACCTTATGCTTTTGGGGGTCACAGCACGTCTACAGTCCTTAGTCTGTGGCTCTTATCTCTCTCTGACACTGTCTTATCTCTACCAGGTGAGTATCAAGTAAGCCTGAAATTGTTTTAGTGAGGGTGAGTTTAAAATTTAGCTCTTTAGCCTGTTTATTAACCTGCCCATTGCTCACTGCTGAGTTCTGGTGAAGAGGATACAGATACCTCAAACACAGAGATATTGTTTTCTCTCTGTGTGCATAGATCTGGAGGGGAATCCAGAAAGAAATGATCACCCAGATTAAAAATCCTTTAGCACAAATATATGACAAAAGTAGGGCTCAGTGTTTTGCACCCATCTTCCCTGCCTAAATCCTGAGTGCCAGCTGAAGTTGTCTTAATACCCCAGTAGTACTCCACAGAATATAGCATGTAGAAAAATGGAAGAACCTGCCTAGAAAACAAGGGGTTGCCTGGGAGTATCCACTACACTGATACTCTTGAAAAATACACAGTTATTCAGGGTTAACTGCAGTCCATGTTCTGGTTTATACTTTTTAGTTGATGTTATGTTTAGCCTATGAATCTGTTTATTTTGGGTTTTGCTCCTCAGCCTTATTTTGGGGACTGTTATCTCCATAAAACCCCTTATATTTTACTCTCAGTTCAGTCTGGATGTTTTTGGTTACTTTGGTGTGGCTTAGGCAGTTGGCTGTGACAGTGTAAATCTCAATGCACTGAATCTTCACTCCTGTAATACAGAGTTTTGTTTTTACAAGATTAGACTTCACTAATAGATGAATGTATCTGCAGCAGCTCTGATGGAGCAGAAGTTAAATGTGTGTGGATATTACTACTGCAGGAGTTTAATTGCCCATCTTCTGAATTATTTAAAGGATGTGTCATTTTTACTCATCACTCTGTTGTTCTTGCATTCCATCTCACTCTGTTATTCAGAGAAAAACCCCACATTTTTTTCCAGGAAGAATTAAATTTGCTTTCTAAAGTGCTTAAAATGTCTGTTTCTGTGTTATCACTCAGTCAATCACAGCAGCACACACCTGACCTGTCCCTACTGAGTTAGGTCTGAAGTGAGAAGCAGTTTTTCTAGGGAGGGCCCTTCTCCTGGCTGTACATTCACACCCCTGTTATCTTGGAAAAATCAGCTGCTTAGTCTAGTCTAAATCCTTCATATTCTTATCTGCAAGCCATGTAAAATGGGTGTGCAGAAGTTGTCAGGCTTGATTTTTTTTTCTTTATGTAAATGCTTACAGCAAATTATTCAACATTTCCAGTTTTCTCATCTCATTATTATGAACAAAGTGACTTGGAAATTGCATTCAACTCAAGGAACCCAGCCACAGATGGAAGAATATTTGGGTGAAGTACCATATGCTTGCCATGTTTTTATGCTCTTTTTTTTTCCTAGCCATCTGCTTTTGACTGTGTCTCCCTTGTCAGAGGCTTGGCTAGATGGTCTTGTGGCTGATGTTGTAGTCTTGGTGCAGGGAAATATTTATTTATTCTTCATATTTGGCTACTGAAATTGATATTTGGTTTCTCTTTGGACCAAGGGACATCAGCAACAGCAGCAGAGAGAAGAATCTTCTTACATGAAGGTGTTGGAAGTTGGAGACTTGGGTTGTCAAAGCTCTGTGTGTGTGTGTTTATATATATATATATTTTTCTATAATTTTTAATGGAGATTTTTTATATATCTATCTCCTAGGCAGTGCTGACAGCAGCTGTGGAGTGAAGCAGAACTTCCTGCTGGGTGTTGATGGCAGGCAGCTCAGAGTGAGCAGCAGGCTCTGATATCAGGCAGTGCAAACACATCCTGAAGTTCTGAGGTCCTGCTCCCCCTTTAAGCCTGGAATACTAATGCATGGAGGCTGCAGCTGACAATGTTATGAGGCTCTTTTGTAGGTTCAGGCAGATTTTCTGAATGCCTTTGTATTTGAAAAGGAAAAACTTGTTTATGGGTTAGATTTCAGTCTCTTTAGGTTGACATTTGTTCCTCTGACAGCTTGATGCCCCCAGCAGCAAGGTTTCTTAATTCTTAGTAGTGATGTCCCCTGTGTGGCTGGCTTAGTAGCAGAGCAGCAAGCTGGTAAGTTAATGACAAGTATTTAATAAAGTTCACTTCATGATCCTTGTGTTTTAAGAAAGAGGCTGGGTTTTGAACTTACCAACAGACACTCATGCAGCATTATAAAGGAAAATATCAAGGAAAAGGCAAACTTGACTTCTCTTCATCTTCAGCTAGCTGTCTGCCTGCAAGAATTGATTTGGCTGTTTTCTTCTGTGAATATTCAGCTATCAGGTCATATTTTGACAACCTCAACCCCTTTATTTTATACCTGCAGATTGGGTTTTTTTGGTGACTTTTCACTTGTCAGAGATGGCACAGGCAAAGGAGATAAACATAGCCTGGGAAAGGCTTTTCCCTGGCTTGGGTCAACCACAGTTTATCTGTGTAATGAATGCTTACATCTCTCTTGCCTGGTTTGCTCCTGTCTGGTGGATTGGTGCTGATGAGCCATGTGTGGGTGGCTCATCACAGTTTCTGCTCTCTGTGCCCAGGGTTTCACTGGCAGCAGGGCAGGCCTGTGCTGGGCTGTCTTGAGCTAGGGGTGAGAGTTCAGCTGGTGACAAGTTAGGTTACTTATGCTTAGGCTTGGAGGTTCCTCACTGGATTTATCTGTGTTGATGTACACTTCTTTCTGCACAGTGTTTTTCTCCTGGAAAGGGAGGGACCCAGCCAGGTTCCCAGGGGAGATTTGGGGTGGGGTGTGACTCCATTCTTGGAGCATGAGTTCAGCCCAGGTAGGCTCATTTCCCTCATGCCCTGCAGGCAAACGTTCCCCTGTGTGCTGAGCATACACAGCTAGGCTTAGGCAGGGAGGAAGCCTCATCCTCCATCCTACTGAACCAGAGCAAAGAGAGCAGGGTTAAGTGGTGTATTTTCCTCCCAAGTGAAGGCTGGTGCAGCTGGCTGCTCTGGGGTTCTGCTGGGTTTGACTTCTGGAAGTAGAGGAGTACAACAGGGGAAGAGAAGCTGCAGATGGCTGGGGAAGGTAGTCAGAGTGAAAGAGGGCTCTGAGGCATGTCAGAGACCCTTTCTGAACCCAGGGCAGAAGTTTGGGCTGGATGTTGCTGAATGTGTGATGAGGAATCTTTAACTGAGGAGGCTGATGGTTGGGAAGGTTTAGGAAACACCATCTCAAAAAGCCTCTTGGACA